ATAAAGTAAGAATAAGGTAAGGCCAACTCGTGAAGTTCAAGGGTGGTGGGGTCACAGTGACATGTGCGGATTGGGCTACTTATGTGTGATAAGAGTGTAAGGGGGTACAATTCGGGGGTAATTAACTGTAATGTTAGGTTTGTATGGATGGTAAGGTATGATTGTGTATTAGCATTAGCAGGGTGGTGAATCTCCAATGGAGGCCGGTGGGAAATTTTGAGAGGGTGAGATTTGTATAGGTGGGTGAGGTTTTGGTAGAAGGGTGGTGTGTTTTGGGATGCCTTGGTATACGGGTGTTCGAGGTTGAGTGAGGTGGTGGATAATGTATACAGTGGTGGGTTTTGAATTCAAGGGTGGTGGATAATCTGTAGGGTGGTATGTGTGTTGTGTAGGTTCTCGAGGTGGGTGTGGGTCTCCTTAAGGGAAAGTTGGACTTAGCCAAATTTGGAGGTCACCAAGATCCTTCTTAAGATGATCAATCATCTTAGCAGGGGGAGTCGAACCCCATTGGGCCATACAGACGTCTGTATGGCCCAATGGTATAGGGTACAAACATAACTGTACAGGTGAAAAAGCCCCGCTGAACATATGCCCGCCGTGGCCGACCTGCATGGCCAGGCTTGGTCATATTCTTGGAGACTTGCCGACCTCATCATCAACAACTTGGGCCAACAATAAGTTGATAATTATACAATCAACCCAATAATCAAGAATGATCATACCTTATAAATCTCAAACCAAGTGTGTACATCAACTTCCAATTTCAATTGCAAGGGATGATGCAAAAGGAGAAAATTGAAAGAATGGATTTTGTCCTGAGACTGTTGCCAAAAAATTGTTTCTTGTGCTCTTCTTGTGATGACTCTTTAAGTTTGTTGACCTGGTATGGACCTCATCTTATTATTCTCACATCTAGCATATAGCTTCTTTGAGAATTGGTGATTGAGATGTACTCTGCTAGCGGTTCTGATATAAATTAGACCATCATAACACGGTCAACTTGACATCCAAGTTTTTGATAAGAGCAGTTCCACACATGGACACATTGTTTTTGTCTTTTCTTCCTATCTCGACACTCTAACCAAGCGCTATCACCAAAAGAACATGGCATCAGGATTCAGAATCCACTCACTACATGATGGGATTGAGACTGCCACTGGTTCAGATATGGCCCAGGGTTGGCACTTGTTGCGCGGGGCTTTTTTAGGGTTGAGAATGTAATTTTGACAATTTTTGATGATGTGACTCAAGTGGCACTTGTATCTCTTCCAGCTCCTCTTCTTCTCCCACACCTGCCTATCTCTCAGCTCTGAATAGCCTTTTCTGCCTATTTCTATTTCTTCTATTCATAGAAATTATTTTTGAACTCCCACCCACCATCCCAGGAAGAGAAGACCCCATTGGGCCTCCTTTGTTCTCAACCCGGTTGAGCAGATTATTTCCCGTGGGAGACGTCTACCACTAGGATCCCCTCCGCTGGGGCATACCCCCCACACCACAATAAGAAAAATAAAGTACTTGTTGTTAAAAGACAAACCTTAACTTTTTACAGACAAAGGTGTCCTTGTAGGGCCTAAATTCCTGTAACTATTTATCAATCAGAAAATGAGTTTCAAGGTTTAAACTTGGTCTAAACTGTGAACCCCCCTACTAAAAGTCCCTTGCAGTGATAGCAACGCAGCCACAGTTACTGTACCAGTACCGGTAAAGTACAGTATAGTACCTGATTTTCCCGGTACAGTACCTGCCAGTATTGTACCTAGGTGGGCACTACTGTACTGAAGGGCAAATATTTTTGAAATTTTAGTATAGGTACTGTACCAAGTACAGTACCACCACGGAAGGTACAATACCGGTACCGGCCCTGCCAGTACCTAAAATATAGGTACTATACCGGTACAGTAGTCAACAGTACCTGTATTTTTGATTTTCTTGATCAATCCCCTTTCCTCCCAGCACTATAGTAGTATGCTTGTTTTCAGTTTCACTCTCTACTGATATTTGTTACCTAATTAATGATTTATATATAAATAAGCAACTTAGTTATCATTTCTTAAGCCTTTCAATACACCCAATGTGCCGGGTACCAACTCAAGGTACGGTGAGATACTGGGCAGTACCTGCCATAGGTACGGTAAAGTACAGTACCTATCTTCAAACCTGAGATACCAGTATAGTACAGTACCTAGCAGAACACAAAGTTACAGCTGTTGTGAGAACTAACAGTACTTTTTTTTATTTTGTGTTGTGTCAAGCTTTAATTCAAAACTGGCAAAAACTAGAAAAAACTCCTTTTTGACCATGAGTACCGTGAGATTGTAGTTTTCCGCAGGAGGCACGACAAAGGTGGGCAGTGTCCACACCTACATGTAAGTGTTATACTTGTGCCTTGGTGATACATGTCCTGATGTGTAAGTAATGTAGCAGTCTCCTGAGGACCCTGTTAGGGTCTGTCTGGTTGGCAAGAATCAGAGAAAGACTGATCCAGGCCAGGAAGGGTTCAAAGAACTCTTTATGGAATGGAAGTGCTCGTAAGAAAATTTTATCATCAACACGCAGACAAGTTATTAACAAGGCCACGGTTGAGATAGGGAACTTTGTCCCCTCATCCGTTTTCATTCCACTATAACTCTTTGTGATCCCTTTTCAACGTTATTGAGAAATTCTTGTAAAGCCAGTACTAACAAGTGATTTTGTCTCACTAAAAATTTACACAATTTTGCATTGACAAATCCTTTATAAGAATTTCATCAAAACCTTTTTAGAAATCCTCTACGTTTCATATCTCTTTTGATCAAGATAATCCACGTCACAAATCCGATGACAAAGAGATCAGCTCTGCAAGGAAAACTCATAACTCAATATGTCAACAAACAACATTGAAAGCACCGCAGCACGACTAAACGCAGTAGTTGCAACAGCGGGAGTAACGGATTGTACAAACGGAGATACCGCACCTGGATCAGGCAGCGGAGGCAACAATCCTAACCACAGAGCGTTAAGTTCAGGGGGACAAATACCAGCTCCCATGTACAACAAACAATCGTTGATATTGAGCTACCTCACCAGAGAGAAAGGTTAGCCATAATAAAACGCCTAGACGAACAATCTTAGTATAAGATTTACTCATAAAATATCAACTAATTGATTGACCTACATAGATAGCACAGGACCGCCACGTCAACCAGGAACATTAGAATGTTCCAACAAACAAAAAGATGGCACCAATAATCAAAAGGACAAACATAAGCAACAAACTACTTACCAACAAGATTAAATCACACAGATTATCCATACATCTAACAAAAGATTTACTTCATACGTCCTAATCCATCAGGAACCTCAGATGCACCAATCAAAAAACAGCCAACTGATGACAACAACCATTCATCAGGTGTTAATGATAACAACGTCACCCAAGACAAATCTCCCACTAAAAGAAACAAAACAAACAACTCGAAAGAGAACAGTGATAGAAATACGTCAAATAATAGTGATGAGAATACGTCAAATGCCCAATCCAAAAAATGTGAGACATCCCGTCCTATAAAAATGATGAGAAAAACCAAATTTACTTACACAAGTTTTCTGAAAATTCGACGGTAGCGAATGACATGTCAATTGACGAATGCATCAAAAGGACTGAAAACAACTACCTCAAAGAATTTGGAGGTACGAGAATACTCCCAAAAATCAAGAAGATTACTCACATGAGCAAAGATGAAAGAAAGAAGAAGTTGAAAGAATATCAAACAAGGTTGGAAGAGATAAAAGAACTTCAGAAGAAGTCAGCCAAACTCATTGGTCTACCATTAGATGACAATATACAAATGATCATCCCAGTAGAAAAATCCAGCCACCTCCCAAAATCATCCTTTGAAGAAGGAGGTCTCTCTTTTGACTTCAGCAAGACACCAGATGCCAATCATCTAGGGCTGCCGTTGTTCTTTCACAAAAACATGCAGATCCTACAAGGTTCTCTTCCCCTCACGATTTTCAACAAAGCTTGGCAATAAGTGGCATCTGATAATCATACCAATTACAAGAAAAGCAACAAGGAGGTTGAAAAGTACAGAGGTCACCCATTCCCAGGAGAATGGTCGCAGTCTCGTTTCAACTGGAACAAGAACTTTGAGACTCTTTTTGATACTTGTAGAAACACTTACAAATATTCAGCTTTCGCCGACGCCCTCAAAATCCACAAGAGAGATGTCATACAAATTTTCAAAGAACAAAGATCCTGGGTCGTAGCCTTCCGTTACGACTTAACCATCAGGAAAGCGACCTTCGCAGTAAGAAACCCAAACAAGAAAGTCCCAAATCCATCTCTAGAACCATCCGGTTTAGTAGACGAGATCTACTATTCAGCAAGATCTCAAGAAGACCTCAACATTGACGAAAATCCTTACAGAAAAGGTGGTCTCAAACACGGGAGAAATCCCTATTCGGACATCACTTCAGACCAGACATCAACTAACTGGAACCAGGCCAACTCAGTAGCAGGTCCTTCAAGATCATACAACTATAATAGAAACCAACAGAGATCCCAAGGCCCCTACGGAAACTACAAAGGAAAGAGTTACAACCCAAGTTACAAAAGACCTGAAGGGAATAGAGCAGAAAACTTCAAAGGAAAAGGAAAGGAGAAAATGTAGGTTTCCTCCCATTCCTAAATCACTCTCTATGCAGATCTTGTAAGCCCCATCCTTGACCACAAGGTCCTGAAAGAAAACCTCTCCGCCTAAATACCATAAGTCCAAAAAACATTGAAAAATCATTTGTATAAAGCATACTCATAAAGAATTTTTTATTTTTTCTCTACCATCCCTGTTTGTGTCCTCAAAAAATCCTCTTTGTACAATACCATTTGCAATATCATCCACACTCATTTAAAGCCAAAAGTATCTACCAAGAAAATTCTGAAAGATCGTACCTATCATCCGACGAGTCATCTATACTGTCCATTATGGATACAGAACCTAAATCACCACCAGACAATGGAATAAGGTTTTTATCAGAAGATTTGTGGCCTACAAAAGTCAATTGTGAGATGAACATCCAAGAATGGGAAAAGGACCTCAACGCAGCAGGAATCCTTGAAGAATACAAAGATGTCATATACGGTTTTACTCACGGTTTCGATCAAGGCATACCTTACCATGTGTTCAACAACTGCAGGTGGTACACCCCACTGAATCACGCATCCACTGCTTTAGCGGAAGAAAAAATTAACAGAAGTATGCAAAAGCAGAAAGCAATGGGACTTATCTTTGGTCCTTTTGCCCACAAAGAAGTTTACAAGAGATGTGGCTTCTTTCAAACCAATCCCATGTGAGCCGTAGTCAACGGAGACGGTTCAATCAGGCCCATCAACAACCTTTCATTCCCAAGAAACAACCCAAACATCCCATCACTTAAATCCTTTGCCAATGCTGAAGATTTCAAAACCCCGTGGGATGACTTCTCAACAGTGTCACAATACTTCCGGAAAATCACTGTCCCCTTCCTCATGGCCATTTTTGATTGGGAAAAGGCTTATTGCCAGATCCCAACCATGCTATACCAACGACAATATATGATGATCTTAGCTCCAGATGGATACATATACTACGACAGCCGAATCGGATTTGGAGGTGTAGGTGGGTGTGGCTCTTTTGGAAGACCAGCGGACAGCTGGAAATTAATCATAAAGAATGAATTCGATTTGATGGAAATCTTTTGTTGGGTTGATGATGCCTTATTCATCAAAGAGATGGACTCAAAAGTAGTGATGAAAGACGTGGTAGAAAGAAGTTTACAATTAGGTGTAATAACTAACAAAGAAAAAATCTCAGATTTCAAACCAGAACAAAAGTTCATTGGTTTCATTTGGAATGGAATTGAGAAAACAGTAAGGTTACCACCCGCAAAACTAGATCAAAGAAGAAACCAAGTCAACAAATCTTTGGAAGTAGGCAGACGTTTCTCACTGAACGATGTGGAAGTACTAACCGGAAGACTTACTCACATATCACTCATCCTACCCAAAATGAAGTGCAATCTGACATCCCTTTATAGGTGGATGAAAAGCTGGGTACACAAATTTGCAACCCAAAATCTACCGATGGATGCAAGGAAGGATCTACAAGAATGGAAATGGATCCTCTCAATCTTTAGGCAAACAAGACTCATACAATTTTCTGATCCAGTAGACTTAGGATGGGTAGGTGACGCCTCTCCCAGCTATGGAGTCGGGGTTCTCATAGGAGGAAAGGAATGGTTCCAGTTAAAACTAAAACCAGGATGGCAAAACTCGGGAGAAACCCCAAGAGGAATTGCCTGGCTTGAGACAGTGGCCATACAAGCCGGTCTACACCACATCATCGCGACAAGAAGTTGTGAGGGTAAAACCTTGATTGTCTGGACAGACAACACAACAAGCAAAAATGCAGTACAAAATAGGAAATCCAAGGATATAGAAGTAAATACAGAATGGAAGAAGATCCAAATTCTGCTAATCAAAAATCAAATGGATTTAGTGGCAAAGCGAGTGGTAAGCAAGAGGAACATGGCAGACAATATATCAAGAGGAGAAGGTAAAGAGCACAATAAGGAAGAGAGATACAGGGTCACGACCTCCTTTCCATGTGACCTGTACGGCTGGTTCACACAAAACTATAAGAAAGATGAGGAATTTGACGACCTAAGCTCACAATTCCCTGGTTTGGTATGTGATTAACAACATGAACCAAAAAATCTTGTACTAAGAAGCTCCATTGTTATTGCAAATAGAAACCTAGTTGTTAGATCGTGTGCAATACAAAGCTTATTTGTAAGACTGTATGCAATGCAATTTTCAAACTTGCACCTGTGTCACCTGTACTAATTGACATACCAACCCTTGTTAAATGAGGTACCACAAGAAGGACAAAAGATTTTGAGTCATGAAACACGTATCAGATCATGTTAAAGAGGTGAGTCTTCCCAATACATGACACACACGTGATAAGAAAACAAAAAACATTTACGACATGTATTGAGAGCCAAATATGAGAAGGAAGATTAACTTTCAAATCTACAACCAATAACCAACTCAAACCGAATAGACCCAATCACAAACACTGTTGAATGAAAAGGTAAGAGTTTTTGAAGATGATTCCATCGTGAAGAGTAAAGACAATTCTTTATAACTGACATTGAGATTCTATTTAGAAATGAATGTGGTACTTGATCTGAAGAAAATCAAATGTTTCTTGAGCAGAAATGGAGAAGATATTCGCTACTACAAGCGGCAGCGGCATATAATCCTTGGGTGGAAGTGGAACACTTTAGTTAGCTACAGTGGAGCAGTAAAGAAATTTCTAAAGTTTTTTAAAGAAGAAGGAACAAGAATCTTTGACCTACCAGCGTCGGCAGACGAAATATACAATTTCTGCACCTGGTCAGGAAGACATCAAGATGGGCCAACGTGAGAAGATATTCTCGCCACGACGCTACAAAAATACATATACGGTTTAAAAGCATGGCACACATATTATAGTGCAGAGTTTCCAAAACTAGACAATTCATTGATTGCAGTAATGCTCATAGCTTCAGCTAAGATAGATTCAAAGTTACCTAAAGCACAAGAAAAGAAGGCAGTACATCTTAAACACATGGTCTATCTGGCAACAGAACTATTGAAAGGAGGTCTGAAAGAATTATCAATTTTGGACACAGTCTTAGTTGCATTTTGGGGCCTAGCAAGGTTAGGCAAATTAACACGCGACAAGCAAGGATCATCGGAATTAGTAAAGCGTAAAGATATAAGAATCATGGCAACAGAGAAAGGGGAGGAAGGTTTTGTTTATCTGGGAAGTGCAAAGACGGCTAGAGTAGGCAAAATTCAAGTGTTGCAATTGAAGAAGCTGAATCACATCTTATGTCCAGTGGCAGCTTTAAAGAGATGACTAGCACAGACAGAACATGAAGAAGACACGGTCTTCAGTTTCATGCAAGAAGGTAGACGGGAAGATTTATTGAAAACAATAATTATGACAACCTGCCAAAAGCTTTGGGAAAGAGGGGGTTATGTTGGACTCACAGGCCACTCTTTCAGGGTAGGAGGTGCCTCTCTAAGGGCGGCACTAGGAGTCCCCATTGAAGACATATGCGAGATAGGAAGATGGAAATCAGAGGCTTACAAAATCTACATTAAACCATACTCAATGTTAGATTTAGAAGGCGCAAAAGAATTATCAAAAAACCTGAACGAACATCTATTATGTTAAATTCATATGCAAATAAATACACAAGCCTAAAAGGGTTGGGTTTTTGGTTTCAAAGGCTCAGGCTTTCAGACTTGAGAGTAGGGATATTAAAACCTTAAACCAGAGAAACTTGATTCCCTTTTCATGAATCAAGTAATCTTTGGAATCTCTCGAGTTTTTTCTTTGGAACCAAGAGTCTTTTCATCTAGTCCTATAAAGAGTTATCTCTCCAATAAATAGGTACACACTATTTAAAGCTCCTTTACCAATAATTGGGAATAAGGCATGATCACCTCTTCAGTTCTCTAAAACTGGAATGTTGATCCCGATAGCCTATAGAGATATTCTTCAGGAAGACTTCAGAAAAGACCCATCCGGTAGTCGTTGATAATCTAACTAACAATTATCAGGACTACGGGGGTTTCTCCCAAAACCCATACACTGGTAGTCCTGGACCCACGGGTCGGGACTATCTAGAGTTGCTCCGTAGTAGATACTAGGGCTGTGACCCGGTCCCGGCCCTGCCCGGCCGAAGGTGCCCGGCGATATTTTCAACGCTGGCGGTCCCGGCCTCGGGGCTCTGAAACCTAATCAGAATAGGGTGCAAAGCCCTGCGGGCGCCCCGGGCGCCCGGCCCGGCCGACTGCCCGATCCTGTTTTCGCCAAAAATAATATAAAAATTTCCCCTTTCCAAGGGTTTTTTACTCATAAATCTGGGCCCGGCCCTGCCTGGACACCCAAGGCCTGAGATTCGGGCAGGCCCTGGTCGGCCCTGAGAAGTTTCCAGGGGACCTCGGGTCTACCCAGGGTCGGGCGTGGCCCCGGGGCCGGCCACGAACTCTCAGGGCCGGGTCACAGCCCTAGTAGATACTACCCATAGCATCTCAAACGTGTAACAAGCTCTAGCAATTACAAAAGTTACTTAGTGGATAGAAGCATATTGCAGGAGCCAAAACGAGGTTTAGGCCTCTGAAATCAAAAAAAACTGAGTTTTGGACCAAAGATTAAACTCTAGTTAAAACTCGGCGACACCCATCACCTCAAAACTTACCAATAGTTCTCACAACGGCTGTACTTTACTGCTGGGCATTTTTTACGGTACCTGGATTAATGGTATTCAAATCTCGAGAAACCAGTCCAAGAAGTGTCAAGAAGTGACATCTAGAAACTTCTTGGACACCTCCAAGATGTTTCTTGGCTGCGAGATGTTTCTCGGGTCAAATCCATCCAAATTTGGAAAACAGTACACCTGTATTTCTCATCACTGTATTTCTCATCACGTTCCCCTCTGTGCTCCTCCTTCTAAAACCCGCTGAATTCAACTCTAATCACATGGCGGATATACCCTCTTCGAATTCCCCTCTTTCTCGTACTCCATCGGCCTCGTCATTTGCAGGACAGGCTCCACCCATTCTTCACTACCCTTA